CCCGCCCCATTCCCTCTCCACCCCACTGTCTGTGTCCATGGGCCATGCATATATGCATACAAGGTCTTTAGTTGATTACCTCCCACCCTCCCAAGATTCCCCACTCTCTTCCATGCTTCCAGTCTGTGGATCTCCTCTGTTCATCGGTTTATTTTGTTACTTAGATTCCACATATGAGTAGGTCATGTGATACTTGTCTTCCTCTTACTGACTTATTTCACTTATTTCACGTGCATGTCTCTCCATGCTGTCTCAAAGGGTAAGAGATTCTTCTATTTTACTGCTGCATAGTTTCCCATGGTATAAATGTACCACAGCTTTCTTATCCACTCATCTACTGATGGGCACTTGTTTCCAGATCTTAGCTATTGTAAATTGTGTTGCTATGAACATAGGGGTGCATACATTCTTTCTGATTGGTGTTTTTAAGTTTCTTGGCACTGACCACCAGTGAGCAGATGCTCAATGCAGGAGCTGCCCCCTGGTGGTCAGTGTGCTCCCACAGGGGGAGCTCTGCTCAGCCAGAAGCCAGGCTGAAGGCTGCCTCTGTGGCAGTGCTAAGGATGTCCCACCACAGGCCTAAGCCCTCAGTCAGACATCCCCAACCTGTCTTTGGTTGATTTGTTGATGGTAGCCATTCAGACAGGTGTGAGGTGATACCTCATAGTCATTTTAATTTGCAACTCTCTGATGATCAGTGACTTTGAATATTTTTGTATGTCTAATGGTCATCTGTATGGCCACTTTGAAAAAGTGTCTATTTAGGTCATTCCCCCACTTTTAAATTGGATTGTTTGTTTTCCTTCTGTTAAGTTGTATGGTTTCCTTATATATTTGAATATTAACCCTTTATCAGATGTATCATTGCCAAATATGTTCTTCCATACAATGGGCTCCCTTTTCATTTTGTTGATGGTCTCTTTTGCTGTGCAGAAGTTTTATATTTTGATGTGGTGCCATTTGTTTATTTTCTTCTTAGTTTCCTTTGCTCCAGCAGATGTATCTATAGACATATTGTTGTAAGAGATCTTTGAGATTTTGCTGCCTATGGTTTCTTCTAGGATTTTTATGGTGTACCAACTTACATTTAAGTCTTTTATCCATTTTGAGTTTATTCTT